CCAAATCCCCCCGACGGATAAGCAAGGTGAAGGCCTCGGGCCCTGGAATGGCAACTTTAATTCGAAATGATAACAGAAGTTCCGAAAACGTAACAAGCCACCGTGAAAGCGAAGGGAAACTAAGTCGGGCGGCCGACTTTTGGGCACAGTGGTTCCGGCATGGTGCTCACATGGTCACACAATCGAAACTCTATGGGTTATAATATGGGTTATGAAAAGGGCCATTACCATTCAATCGGGCAGTTAGGCGGGTTGTCAAGGACAAATAACATATTTTTAAGAAGGCCGTTTTTTAAGAAAGTTTCCAAGATAATTTAAAAATAGCCCATGAGATGGAGAGTTCTTTTCAAGGACTCTGTAGACCTGAAACTCCTTAATTGCTAAAATTTATTAATAACCCGTTTGTAGTATGAGTAATAATGTTTGGATGCTTAGAAGGCAATGTAAATCTCGAATACTGAACACGCATACAAAATTTTAAAAGAAATTTAATTATTTGTGGTCATATCAGATTAATCTTTAGTCCCGACGAGAATGATTTTTTTTTTAATTTTTCTACATTTTTGATCTTTTAAAATAAAAATCTTTAAAAAATTGTTGATCTTGTTTTCCTGTATTGTTCAGTCAATAGATTAATAACTTTTAATTTAGTAAGTTCGCATTAAATAAAAGATTTGCAATCGATATATAAATATCACTTCAAATATATATTTTACAAAATTGAAGACATATATTTATGAACAGTTTAGTCTTATACTTTTACTGCATTTTATTTACGATAACTAAATATTTCCATGAAAGTTGTTTATTTTTAATGAATATAATTATTTTAAAGCAACTAGCTTTCTTGCGCGAAAGCTCCACGAATATGACCCACTGTGCAGCCAACAAGGATGTCTGCGTTGTACCTGAAACCAATTCGGCCGCTCTTCTCGGCTACCAACATTCCATATAAATTAGTCTCGTGGGTGCAATTTTATTAAATCAACAAAAATTTGCAATGTTGGCAACGTGTTTCAGTTTCAGTTCCAGTTCTAGTTTTCCTTCAGCCCTTGTCCTCGGAATGCGAGGGAGCACTAAGTAGCCGTTGTGAAAGTGCCAACTTCGGGGTGGAAGGTTGGTTGGAGGTGGACGTGGTCGTGGATGTGGATGTCTTTGGGATTGGGATTGGCATTGGGGTGGTTCGGCTCTGGGGTACTCGTATTAAAAAGATTGTGTTCCATTTGAATGCCGTGCACATTTGTCGGTTGGTTTCTTGGCGGATTATTATAATATATTGAAGATCGCTTAGTTGAAATTTAGTGTTAATGCCAATGGGGTCTTATGAGCGCAATAAGAGCACGAAAATGGCCGGGCAAATGGCGCTGATTCACAGGTCCCGACTTTTGGATGGCAATCTGTCTGTTGGGTTTCTCGTTTTTATAAATTTAACAGGAATGAGCACTTTTTAGAATGTGAACTAGAGTTTTAAATAGATAATATTGTTGTTATTGGGCAATAAATATATGTATTGTAGCAGCAATACTTCACAATTTAATGTTTAATTGTATGTACCTTTTGGAGTTGCACTCTAAAATTTTAAGTAATATAACTACCTAGTGAATTCTTTTCATTTTTAATAGCATGTCAACAAAAGACTTATTAATCACAATTGCAACACAAATATATCTTTGAATAGTTTCTAAAATTTTTAATAAAATTAATAGAACAGTATGTGAGATTAAAACATGTAAAATAAGTAAAAAGGTGAATTCATTTTATTTTTGAGTGAAGAGAGTTTTATGATTTTAACCAATGACTCATTAATCACATCTTTAAAATTAATATATATGCAGATAGTGTATTATATTTGGAATCTCTCATACTTAAAACTGCTTTGGGTGCAAACCAATTCCCGAAACCTTCGGCCATTTTCCGATTCCCTTTCACCATTTTCAATTAATCGAATGGAAAACTGCACTTTTCAATTTCCCCTGCCGCACTTTGAATTGAAATTGAAAAGCGAAAAATGTGATAAATGAGCGCCAAGGGCTTTAAAACAGCCCCGGCGAGTGTCGGGCGAAAAAGGCCAAAACTCATTTCGCAGTGTTAATAAATTATGATGTAGCAGCGCGGCGGGATGTGCAATTTTGCAACAAAAGATAAAGGTGGAGAGCAGACAACAGCGGCGGAGGCATCAGCCATATCCATAAAGGCCTACCCGGAGACATGGCCAATCTCTTCCGGCGGAGGCTTGAAAAAGTGCCAGGGGATAAAATCAACCTGTGCATTCGCAATGAGCTGTGAGCAGGGAGAACTGGCAGCTGTGGAGTGGGGATGGCTAGAGATACCAACGCATCTGATTTGGGCTCGAATTGGGATTGAGTTTGGGATTGGGTTGGGCATGGGGACCCTTTTTGCACACACACACGGCACACTGTGATGACTGTTTGCACTTGTTAAAAAAACACACCCTTCGCAGTAGCATCAATGTGGTCCTTGTGGTGCGGACGCCATCGAACAGGGTGTTTTATGCCTTGTTTTATTTATGCAAAATTATGTTTCAATTAAACGTAACGCGCTCAGTAATTGTCCGCCATTTTGTCGGGCTGAAAGCCAGAAATCCTGAAATCCAGGACGCGGATGGCAACATCTGCGATGCGCTGTAATTAGGCCTCGCATATGCCGCAGCATCCACTGTTTTTGCGCGGGGCTGGGACGGAATTTAAAGTAGGATCAGCGTTTGCGGCTTTGTTTGCCCTGTCAAAATATTGTAATTCTTTTTCGGCCGGGCTCAGCCCGCGAACGAATTTGAATGCCATAAAGTGTCAGAGTTTATGTGCGATTTGGCATTAGAATTACACGGCCGACTAACGCCATCCGCGGATTTGCCGAATCGCGCAGTGGTGGATACCCATCCGTACAACATGAATAAAACATATGCCGGGAATGGGTGTTCCATTGCGTTTAAATCATGGATCGGTGGGAACCGCCAAGTAAGCCCCTGGTAAATGGTTTCAATCTTAATTAAGAAGTTTTAAAAAATCGTTGTTAAGCCCATTCAACAACTTCGTTAGCTAAAATCTAGTTTAAGTTAAGTTTCCTCTAATATTCCGCCGTTCGAAACTGACATTATTATTATTTTTTTAAATTTTTGTAAATGCTAAGCAAGTAATCAAGTCATTGAATCAATATGTCTTTAGGAACATCGGTATGGTTGCGACAAATACATAAAAGTTACTATGAAATCGGACTGGAGTTATGAGAATATATTCAATAATTCTATAGAATTACTATAAAATGTGCCACTTTAGCAATGCAACATCGGGGTCACCAAACCTTCCATTCAGAACTCTCTTTCTGTACATATTAATTATGGAATATTTATTTGTCAAGGGACAGTTTGCATTAAATGGTTTTCGCAGAGCATAACAAATGAAATATATATCCAGCGCTGCCTTATCGCGTTGATGATCGCCTTTTGGGGCAGTTTGAGCGACGCAGGAAAACTTTTCCAATAACAGCATCCAAATGTGAACTTATGCCCGGCCCGGCTACGTGCTCAGAATGGCGAACCCAATAAGCGACCTACAGCCCGGCACCCAACCCCACCCGAATTCCCATCAATGGGACAATCTTTGGAACGCCATTTTGACGTTTTCGAAAGTTTCTTTTATTGCATACATGAGCCATTTGGGTGCCGGGGCTTCCGTTTCCGCTGCCGAGGACTCAGCTCGTTGACGCTGCCATTACGCTGTCGCAGCTCCAAAAACAGGATGAGTACAACGTCTGGCCTCCACCTCCGGTCGGGAATCGGGCCCACTCCCCCTCGTCCTTCGTCCTTCGTCCTGGGCACACATGTGGGCGTGCGTAAATGGCGTCGTTATGTGTGCGCTTATTATCATAATCCGTTGAGTTGTTGGCGCATTAATTAAATTTAATTAAAGGCGTTTTGCAACATTTCCGGGTACGTGGCCACGCTGCCAATTGCAAGGCCACATCTCAGGCGAAAGTGCCAGCATATCCCCCTCGGGATAACAGTGCGAACTCTAACCCCAATCGTCCTTGCGACGAGGCATGAAATCAATTTGCGCAAAATGGCATTCGTTAATTAATATTTGCGGCAGCGGCATTAGCAAGTGGGAATTTATGCTTCGGATGAGAATATATTAATCTATTGAACAGACTCAATACTAAACACATGCTCTGATATGTGCACAGGATTATTAGGAAATTCGTATACCACACATTAAATTGGATATATTAATGTCTTTTGCGTATATAAGTGGATAGTCGGGTCACTGTGAAATGCTTGATATTATTAGGTCTTGAACATGAAATACCCCTATCGAAATAGGTTCCAATAATGTACAAGGTTCTTGTTCAATACATATGTTTTTCATTCAATTCATTAAATTCCCCTACATTTGTTCCAAGAAGTAATCCACGCCATTATCCACAAATGGAGCACCCACTCCACAATTAGTTTCACACCATTTCTTTTGATTTTATTTATTTATTAATTCTTCACTGCAGTTGTTGGCTTATGCTAACGTTATTTTTCATATTCTTTTTTTTGGTTCGCTCATAGTTTTAAATTTTATTAATCCCCTTGGCTGAAGTCTGTTCGAACGCAAACGAAATATGATTTCTAGATTTTTATCCATATTCTTAACATAAATAGTTGTCATGCAGTTTTATGTACAAATACGATGGCAAATATTTGGGCGCCCCTCGATCGCTCTCAGTGCGCTCGATCTAATACTAGGATCTGTTTAAAGTTTGAATATAATTCAGTTACGTATATGCGGGTTCTTGATCTATCGCATTTTCCGAATATTTCCGGCTGGGTGAGTAAACTTGGTTGGTTAGTAAATAGTATCGACTTGATTCTACGTATATATGTTCGTTAGGCATTAGCTAATAGTTAATTTGATTTGAAGTTTTTGGACCTCATCGAAAAGGTCAGCCTATGGATGGGTTCTCGTTGCAGTTGCTTCCCAGTCGGAGTGAAACAAAGGTTATTTAATTTTTTCGCATTCATTTTAAAATCGCATAAAATTATATAATACACAATTCGTCACAACTAAACTTAAACTAAAATTAACAGAAGTTTTAGCATAAGGGTTCAAACAAAATATTAATTTACGCGCTAATTTGCTAGGCCGTCCAAATGAGACTAAACATTAAACTTAAACCAAACTGAAACGCAACAAAAACAGAAACGGAAACGTAAGCGGAAACAGAAACAGAAACCACTCAGTTTCCTTCAATCAGGTGTTGAAACAAGGCAAAAGGCTGTCACCACCCGTGAATATCACTCGAACCGGGGGGACTCGGAAAACATAGGATAATATGACAGTGGTATTCCCATAGAGAAGGATGTGCGCTGGGGGGATGCTGATTTTTGGTGGTGTCTGGTTTTGGGCAAAACGTGACTTCAACTCTGTCTGACTCGACTGCTTTTAGTGTTAACCATACTAGATACACATACATTTAGGTATTTATACATACACATATAAGTTCATAGTTGTATATATTTGTAATATATATTCATATATATCAATGTCAATAATTGTTTATGTAAATACGCGCTGTGTAAGCCATCCGCTTCGGTTGTGTATAATAAATAGATTTTGACTTTAATTCAACTTGCAATCCGCGAGAGACTATGCTAGGTAAATTTAATTTCGGGAAGTTTGAAATCTACGTATATGGGTTCTGCCGTTCGTCCTCTCTATATCCCTCCCTACTTGGCCTTTTCTCTGTTGTTGCAACCTTAAGCTAATACGTATTTTAGAGTTTCCTTTCTGTTTGTTATATTTTGTAGATTTCTAGGCCCTTGCGCCCAGTACACTCTCCGCTTAACTGTAGTTAATTTAAAATTTTAGTCACTGGCAAACGACATTTAATTTCTCAGCTCCATCTTACTCCAATTTAGTTTCTTGTTTCATTATTATTATTACGTATTTGAAATCGTGATTATGCTTTTGGGTATGTTGCATACCGTTCGTCCTTACAACTGGTATTTATGGAAATATTTGCGCAATTGTTTTGCATACTTTTGCTGCTTACTTGTTTACTTGCTTGCGCGTTGAGTCGAATTAAGATTAATATGGCATTGAAGAAATCATTGTATTCAAGCGTTGGCATACAACGAAATACAGCAAACACACAGTAAACACATCACTTAAACAAAACATTGGAAGAGGGTTTTTTTTCGAAAAACATAAACAGAAATTTCCAATAAATAGGTAGATACAAAACGTACGCTCTATAACTCTATAGGTAAGTATCTTTAATCTGTAAGCATATCCATATAATTATGTATTCATATACCGTCAAACATAGTCGAACGTGGCTCTAAATATCGAACTAGGTTATCCTACAGCAGTCGCAAATAATTTTACACTCGAACTCGCCAAGCTGCCTTCTTCGCGAACCCCCTCCCATTGGGAGTGGGTCGATGTCGATGGCTGGCAACGGAGTCCTTTGACTATCAAAAATCGCTCATTTCGTCAATATTCATTTTTATATATAGATCGCGTCTCCTGCTAACTCCTGCCTTAAGCATTTACCGCTATTCTAAGTAGTTCAATTTATCCATTAATATTACCAAGTTGGGCCCCGTTGGCCCAGGGGCTCAGCACTGGGGGTTGAATTGCCAATTTAGGGGTTGGACTGCGCGAAAGGGAAAGTATGGAAGAAGTGTTGGATACACAAATTCTCACTGGAGATCTGAAAGGGAATCGCATGCGTTGCACTATCAAATAGGCCTCTGCATTTGGGGAAACCTCAGAAAGCTTTGATCCGAGGCAATTAAACCCTATCCAGCAAATCGCCCCTGGGCCACCGCACCCACTCATTTGCGTGTGTGTAGGTTTGTAGACTTATCCAACTATTTACTATGTAAAACTTTACGTATTTTAGTTATCGAGTTTATCTTCTGCTTGCTATCCCGCGCATTACGCAGACGAAGAGACGAAAAAGAACGCCAGACGCTGGTGCCGGCGATGGTGGCTGCGGTGGTGGTGGTGGTGCTAGTGGAGCTAGTGGTGCGGCTGGTGGAAGATTGGCTCGTTGGCTCGGCTGGGGGGCGACTGGGGTCAGTTTAGGAGTTGACCTTGCTGACCGCCTTCAGCAGGTCGTGATTGCTCTTGTCCAAGGCGCTCATCATGCCCAGATTGCCGCCCAACCCACCGCCAATGCCCGGCCCAATGCCGCCCACTCCGACACCCACGCCCATGCCAAGGCCGAGCTTGAGATCGTTCTGACCCACCACCGAGTGGTGCAAGTGGCCCGGATTGTGTGCGATGATCGAGTGGTGGTCCTGCGGCTGTTGTTGCTGCTGCTGGTGCTGTTGCTGCTGCTGCTGCTGTTGCTGCTGCTGTTGTTGCTGCTGCACTTGCTTGTTCTGCTGGGCGGATTTCATCGTCTCCTGGGCCTTCATCTTCTCCTGCTCTTCGCGATCGCGTCGCGCCTTGATAGAAAAAAGTAACAAAGAGTTAGAAACGAATTTGTGGCGCCCCCGGGGGGGACCGAGTTAAACTCACCTGTTCATTTATTTCCTTGACAGCACGTAGCTCCTTCTTCAGTTTCATGCGCCGATTCTGGAACCAGATCTTTATCTGGCGCTCGGTCAGGCAGAGGGCGTGTGCGATCTCTATGCGCCTTCGCCGGGTCAAGTAGTGGTTGAAGTGAAACTCCTTCTCCAGTTCGAGGGTCTGGAAGCGAGTGTAAGTCTGGCGGCCTCGTCTTCGGGGGCATCCGTTGGGGCCTGCGGAGGAGAAAACAGAGAAAGTCGCGTCAGATGGTGGTGATGATTTTCAAGATGATGTTGTTGCCCTTTTTTGGCAACGCCTAATGAGCTGCAAAAACGCCGTCAGACAGTCGAAAACGGCACTCTGGCCAGCTGCAGCACATGTCAGGCGTCGCCACATGATTTGTGCTTGGGGATTGGGGAGCTCTGCTGCACTGCGAATGTCTGGCTGCGAATTACGAACCAAAGAAACAGTTTTTCCAAAGGGTGAGGGGTGCGGGGTGAGGCGGACTGACGTCAGCCGTTGCCGCCACAGGACATCGACTCCCCGGGGTCCATTGCGGACCTGATTCCGCTGCGGATTGGCATCGCACGCAGTGCGTGGAAGGGTGAAGCAACCGACACCGACTCGCCCAGCAGCAGGTCTCGCCCTGGTGGCCAGCCAGCCAGTCAGCCAGCCAGCGCTTTTCCCCGATTTTCTCTGCATTCCATTCTCTACTTTTTTGTGCTGCTTCTCTTTTTTCTTTTATTTTTTAGCAATTTTCCATGCTACCTGTGCGAATTTTTTGCGCGACGGTGCGAAGATGCGCCCGGAATGGGCACAGGCTCCGTGTTTATGTTACGGAAATCAAAAATTCGCTATCTACAAATTGCCGTCCCAGTCCCGGCCTAGCAGCCTCTCACTTTTACCCGCTTGCCGTTTTATGGCTTTCATGTCTCTTTTTTGCTGCTGCCTTTGTGCAGAGTTTTTCTGGCAAAAGGTTTTCATGTCAACGGCAATTTTTTATGGTTTGCAAGTTGCGATTTTCCAACGGCAACCGGCAGACAAAGTAAAAAAGGGACACTTTTTACGTAATATTATGAAAGGTGCAGATTTTGTAAATCTTCATCGGTTGCAGTTGTAAATCATTGGGATTTTTTCTATGTTCCGCTGCATTTTTTATGAGATTGAGCAGTTGGCAAAATATTTACAAACGGATGAGGCCGTGACATTCGAATTTACCTGAACTGATAAGCAGTATAGGTGAGTCACTTTTGGTAGATGCAAAAAGTTATTTACCTTACAAGTTAAATTGAACTAACATTATCTATCAAAAAAATATATGAACCGTTTTGATTTTTTTATTAGTACGGTATGTAACGTTCAAGAAACTCACAAAATCTAGTAGTTGTTTATAGAAGATTTAAAAAATTACTGCCCTTTTCAAGACTATTATCAAAAACATTGGTTTAAGTTGCAACTGGTTGATTTAATCCTATTACAAGAAAATTAAACTCAAATTAAATTGCTTTAAATTAATTTCTTGTTCCCTCAACGCCCTACATTACTTTTAATTTGAAGAGAGCGGTCGTAAAATGAGTAAAACATTGACTGTGGAGTGGACAGGAAATAGTGGAGGGGGCGAGGAAAAGCAATTTCAATTCTAATCAACCCCCTTTCCCTGCGATCCTGGAACCAGGAATACCAAACTAATCTAAATTATTTACACGCTACAATGAGCAGCTACAATTCGTCCCATAAATCACGACTCCCAGGACACACGCGCCCCTAAACAAGATTTACGACCCCCGCAATGGCCGCCGTGGCACCCGTGCAGGTGCGAGCGAGATGGCCGATGGCTCGCAGGACAGACTGATGGAATCCAACATGGCTGCCGCACAGGTAGACACTCACACACACACACAAACAGAGACAGGGGCAAAGAGTGAGAGAGCGTTGGCATGGCAACGCCTGGGTCTTGTTAGTGTGTGAGTGGTGAGTCGGCGCAGCCAAACCGGAATTTCCAGAGAACACTCATACGTGGAGTGGAGCTGAGCGGAAAAAGGAGAGCGCTCACTTTGAGTCACGACCCGACTCGGTTATTGATTTTCCAACGCCACTGCATTTCCACTCAATGCTCAAAAACTATTTGAAAAGCCTTAAATCCGCTTGGGAAAAATACACAATCGACGGTTTCAATTCGGGTTTTGGATTTGAGTGAGTCTGGGAGAGCGGCTTTGTGGGGGTCTTTGCAGGGTTCATTGATCTTCTCAACAATAAGGAATACATTAAAATTATGAAGAAGATTATTTATGTTTCGTAAATATAAGCGGAGTATTTGGGAGATCAATGGGAGTCTGAGGAGTGGGGTAAAGTAATCACAGATGTGAAAAATATTCATCTTCAGAGTGAGAGTTTAGGTTTTAAGAAATATATTTAGAAGATTAACGTCAATACCACAAATCAAAATCTGCTTACAAATCCAAATCAATATGTAAGGTTAAATTAACTATAACAAGGTGCTATAATTAAGATTCATATAAAGCGCATTATTGAAACATGTTTAAAAAACAAGAAAAGTATCTTATTCTATTATAGATACAAACAAACTTTAATTAGTAACTAAAAAATCAAATATATCTATAATTTAAATTAATCATTAATAGCTTCTCATTAATCAACAAATATTTATCGGATTCTACTGTGTATTGTATATTTATTCGCTCTACTCTGACGTGACTAATTTTAGATTAGGTGAGTCAGCAACTTAGACAAATCTCGGAACATTTGTTTATGCATGAAAATACATTGTAAATTTATTTATAACTGCCTTGTTTTTCTGACCACTATTTATAGATCAATTTATTAAATATTAAAATCAACTTTTCAGCTTATAATTTTATTTATAACTGCCTTGTTTTTCTGATCATTATTTGTAGATCAATTTATTAAATATTAAAATCAACTTTTCAGCTTAAGTTCCCGCATTAGATTTAGGGTATTCGCTGACTTTCAATTGCGCACTCATCGATAAATAAGCTTTAAACGCTTCGATAGATTTGACAAGCGCTAAGCGGCTGTCTTAAGTTTTTATTTTCGAGTTGAGGTGGCCGGTCGAACCGGTCCGTTGCACAATTGCTAAGGAAAACCATTTTCCAATTAAAAATCAATTAGCGCGCCATAAATCGTGGCTGCAATTGACTGAAGCGGCGGTCGGGTAAACAAAACGGCAAAAAGCGAGCTAGGGCAAGGGAAATCTGTTTCGGAATCAGAGGAAATTCCAGACGCGGTGGCGTTGGCGGTCCGGATCGAAATGGGTTACTCTGCTATATATTCCACAGATCGGCCGAGGGAATCCGAGAGGTGACAAGACAGCCAGGAAAGCCGTCCCAAGGCGCCGCTGTCAACGGTGCGAATGGGCCTGGGAATGGTTATGGGAACGAGAATGGGAATGGGAATGGTTATGGCCCAGAGCCGGGGACAGCGTCTATAACAATGACATTAACAATTAAAAATATTAATAATCATAAACGTAATTGTTCAATAAACAGCGGCGCGTATAAATAAGCACAAAAACATACGAAAACGAGACGCTGAAAAAACACAGCGCAGACTGAAACTTATGATGACATAAAAATCATAAAAACAATTCAAAGCGTACAATAAAGATACTCACACACACACTCAAGCGGGCGGGTTGGGGGAGTGGGGGGTGGTAAAAACGCCATAGTTTGCCCAAGTATCTGCCACTCTGGGTATGTGTGTGTGTGTGTGTGAGTATCTGTGTGGCCATTCGAAAGTGGTTCCGTGGGGACGCTGACAAGTCTTCGAGTCTTGTTTATCAAGCGACACAAAATTGTACAACAAACAAACATTCGCCGTTCGAGTATTTCGTGTTTAGTGTTTGCCTCCTATTTTCGCCCATCCCTTTCTAACGTTCTCGCTTTCGTTTTTCGGTAAATAATAAACAAATTTACATATCGCTTGACAAAGAACTTTGAAACATTGTGGCGTGCTCTAGCGCTTTGTTGTTTCAGTTGCCGGCAATTAGTTTGAATTTGGATTCCTAGCTGGGTCAAACTGTTTGCCGGCAAATAAATTTTCTGATTTTGCTGCTGTTGACCGTTCAAGTTGGGGGGATTGGAGAACTTTTCCCGCCTCCGACTTGTTTGTTGACTTTTGGCGCGCAAATTCCGCTGTGTATTTGCCTTCGAAACGGAATTTGTGGAAATCTTGTGGGCTTCGTACACTTTATGGGAGTGTCTGGGGAATATTTAAATATTGCTGACCCAGCTAAGCGGCCTATTATTTCAGGCCGAGGGCATTTTAAATTTAAAAGTGCTTCTCTATGAGGTTTTTAGATTACAAAATTATAATAACAAAATGCCTAAATTTAATAACTATATTTGATCGAAGTATAACCATAAAAACAAGTTTGTTGAAAGCTATTATATGTCAAAAGACCAAAGAAATTTTATAATTCGATTAGAGGCTTTGAGTGTTCACTGGAAAAACTCAAATAAAAAAAGCAAGAGGCTTCGGAGATAAAAAAAAATTATCAAGAAATTTAATTTGACTCTTCTCATAATATTAGATTTATATTATATGGAGTTCTTATCAAAAAATTATAAAAATCTAAGCGAATATAATATTTTTCCGTCAACGAACTCGTAAAAATTAAATAAAAAAGCAATTGTTACCTAGGTCTCCAGATATATAGGTTTAATTTGTGTTTTTTTGTAGGCTATTATAGACTATTTTTCTCAGAAACCCATGTTTCTTCTGTAAAATGTTCTTAACATAATTTAAAGACAAGATACTAATAGGGAACAAGGCATCCGAAAATGTGTACGCATATTTATGCCATCGTATATTTATCTCGTTTCTGGTTTTTTTTTGGGAACGAAGAAATTTCACTGGCTGCGTATGTTTTATGCTGATTTGTTTATATTTGGTATGAATTTTCGAAACTTACTTCCCGGATGGCATGTTGAGAGATATATAAACAAAGGGCAGACATTTAACATGCCCGAAGATATAGAAACACACGCCGAAGTGAGGAATGTTTGGGGTCGCGAGGGTTTTGTGATGGCTCAACCAATTCTGCCCTCCGCCAGTTGGAGGAGTTCATTGTTTTGCGGAGACGATCTTTCGGGCATTTAGCGCAAATTGCAATGTTTCCCGGGTTAAGTGACATCCCCGGGGAGCTGTTCTTATCCCCCTCTACGCCCCACGACTGCCAGGGATATGCAAATGT